GCTCATCCACAAAAAAAATTAGAGGAAACATTGGCTGCTGGCTCTGGAAACTTTCTTTGGTTCCATGATGGAGCTAAAAGGAAAGGAAAGCAATGGAATTGTTTTGCTAGATGTGCAGGGTAATAATGCTCATACAATGAGGAACAATGCCACACTGAGCAGGAAAATGCATGGGTTGCCCTTTGTTTTCACAAAATTAGCAGCGAGGTCATGTGGGCACACTGGCGAAATCAGTGCAACCAATGAAAACTGAAGCCAACAATAACCGATGTATTACTGTATTTGAAATTCTGCATCTTCCAGAATAACTCTGATACTGACAGATTGTTCTGTCCATATCAAGCAGCCATGTTTAGAGACCTTACCTTTTCTATGCATACCATAGTGTTTGTTGTCAAATCTGTTTGATTAAATTTGGATTCATATGAAAAGCATAACAGAATTCCACTTGTCAATGTTCTAGATCAGTGATTACCAAACTTTTTCATGCTACCATCCCCTTGGTTCCATAAACTTACCCAAATTCTCAACCCATTTTCCCTTGTGTGAGAAACTAATCTCACACTTTGTGTCCTTACCACACATTGTTCTACACATCTGGAAACCATTAAACACAATGTTTTTTCTTACCTGTTTTAATGGAGGAAAGGGAAAGGTTTTCAGTGACCTAAACCCCTACCTATGGCCACCATTCGGTCAGGATCCTGCCTCCAGCACCACCCTGCCATTCCTTGCTTTTTTGTCTCCCTAGATTTATTCATCACCCCCAGGATGGCATTAGCTTTGTGAATGATTTTTAAATTAAATTAATTAGTTGGAAAATGAAAGTTGATGAATGAAGTATAATGCAATGAAATTACTTTTAATACATTATTTGGAAACAATTTAAAACAGTTCTGTGTGTTTTTTTAATATTTAAAATAGTGAATAATAATTAATTGGGCTTTAATGTTAAATTACTTTTTTATTTAATTTTGGCTAAAATTTCACAGAAAACAAACTGCATTTTTTGTCAGTGTACTATTTTATGTAAAAGAACGTTTTTTTTATAGAAATTTAGTAGAGTCCCGAATTCAGTCATCCATATACTGTATAATAATTTTATTGATGAATTAATTCTTGTATTATTCTGATATGAGTTTGAGTTATGCTTCTCTGGAATAATTAAATATTTGTTTTCTGTGCTGTTTACATAATGAAATCGCAGCTAAAATGTTTAGATCTGTTTTTATTTTTCGTTTATTGTTCCTTATCTGAAATGCTGTGTAAAATACTTTTTTTCTTGTTGTAGAAAGGTAGTAATAGTATAGTAGCTAAATGCGGTTCATACATTTTTAATTTGTAGCTTTGTAATGAGTTCGTTTGAATAATTAATTTTAATTAATAAATTTTACATATTTGTGATAGCGGAATTAATCGAGACAATTANTTAAATAAGGTCCGTTTGTGAATGAGAGTGAGAATAACATGCGTTCACAGCAGTGTGCATGAACATCTACTCCCAGCATGCTTTACACATGTTTAGACACCATTTGCAGCCATATTGTCTGTCTGTGTGCTGAGCTGTAGAAGTTTATAATGTTTAAGAAAATTGAGTTGCCCACCAACTGTGAGATACGATCTGTTATTCGGTTTCAACACGAAAGATCATGGCGACTGTCTTTTGGGACAGGAAAGGGATTTTGTTAATGGATTTTATGCCGTTAGGCACAACAATCAATTCTGATGCATATTGTGTGACCTTTAGAAAACTCCAGCATGTAATGCAACTTTTTAAATCATCTATTGACATGAATTGAATAGGATATGAGGAAAAATGCTAGGTATGGAAATTGAATTATTACTTTACAATTACACTGGACAGCAAATTTTAACTTTGATAATTTTTCTTGATCTTTTGTCTATAATTTTGTTTTATCTGTTACTTTTTATGATAACAACAAAAAAAAATACTTCTCTCATCTCAGAATAAGAAAATAAAAGCCAACTTACTTATTAATTTTATTAGTAATAAAAAAAATATATAAATTAAAGTTTTTCATGCCACTTTCCCTTGTATAATGCTCTTTTGGTTTCTAAAATCAGTGTCAGCCAATATTCTTCATTCTTTTTCAAACTTATTTACATAAGTGCACATTAGGAGTATAAACCTGTTTCTAGTCAATTCAACAAAAATCTATAATTAACTTTGGCAAGAAATTCTCAGATGATTTTAACAAAGATGATCATCTGTTTCTTTCAAGAACTATGTATTCTGATATTCCCAGCTCTCTTATTTTGCCAAAAACTCAATTTGACAACAAAATAATATCCCATGTTTAATACTCAGTATTTAGTGCAGATATATTCCAATTAAAAGTTATTGGTGTGCAGGCTGTAAAATAATTGCCAACATTTCACATTTATGAAATACAATATTTTTAAAAAGTGATAAACTATAAAATAACATGTAAGCAGACAATTTTACTTCTATATAGCAGTGTTAGATAACATTTCTATTTTTAAAAATTCCAGAGTTTAAAATCAAACTTAATGTTCGAGTAAGTTGTTTTATGAGTTTGTTTTTGACTTTTTCTCCAAATGTATATAATATGGTAAAAATTAAAACAATAATAAAACAATTTTTAACTCTAATGGCAGCTTGTATAGGTGGAGAAGCATTTGGTCTCTATTATAGATGTTAAAATATTCATTTTATATTTAGGAGGCTGATTCTGTTGTCGGTAGTGTGTGCTGATGAAATTGGCATGGTTTAATTTTCAGCAGCAGCAGATTGATTGGGGAGGTGGCTTGTGTTAAGCCTTCCCCATTGACACACACAAAATAAAATTTAAGATCATTAAAATTTGTTCAAAAACAATTTTTAATGAAAGTTATTTGTTCAAACTTTAAAAGAAAAACATTTATGATTGCAACTGTAGTTTGTTGGATCATTCATACTGCAATCATCATAAACATGATAAAAACATAAATTATTTGAGTATTTTTATTTTTGAGTTAGAGAAAGCTAACTCAAAAATTAAAAATACTTGAATAAGACTAGCTTACTATTCTTCTACTGCTGATTAGTTTCTTTACAAAAGAACTTTCAATTCATGCTGTACAATCTGATGCTACACTTAACACTTGACTCAAATTCAGACAGGTGCAGCAATGAGCATTTAAAAACATTGTTAAATTCAAATGTAGATGTTTGTTGTCCCATCTATGATGTGTGTATTTATTGTCATATTTTTTTATGTTACTCTTATTTTATTTTATCTTATTTTAATTCTAATCTTTACCTAAAATTAGAAATGTAAGTTTATCTGTTAAGTCTCTGTTTTTTGAACATACTTTTACATATTTTAAATCAAAAATGATTCAAAAGGTTGTTCTTGAATTCTTAATTATGAAATTTAATTGTTGAAATTTTAAATATAAAAAATTGATACATACCTAATTTTTACATTCAATTTAAATTAATATTTGTTGAATCTATAAAATTTTTGTAATCAAATAATAGTATTTTAATTACATTTAATTGGCATATTACATGTACTGTACCTTATTTATGCAAATTTCAAAAGTTTCTTTACATGTAATAGTATTAACAACTTTTTTTAATACACAACAAGCATTTTCATCATATGCATTTCCTATAGCAAGTGCAGCAATATTTTTTTCTACATTCAGCATTGAAAAGTATCTCTAGAGAATTTAACTTGTTAACAAATTAAAAGTAAATATTAAAAAATTTAATATAATTCTATATTTTGTAAGATTTTGTTTTGTTACATATGTTTTCTTTATAGCATTTGACTATAAATAAATTTTTATACTGATGATAATTTCCAAATGAAAGCATAAAAATAGAAAATGAACTTGCTTATAATATTATTGTCAAACACTAACCATTATGTAATATGCTTAAATTATGAATTACCATAACTTTGCTGCAATATTCTTTTTCTTTATAATAACACATTACATAAAGTTTTGTGTTTCAAGCTATTTATTAAATTATTTTTTTATTAATTGTTTCTGAAAAATAGTTTTAGCAATTTAGATTTAGTTGTATAGTTAGTTATATTGCAGTTCAGGTATACAATAAGATTTATTTGTTAAGTCTAAATATTTTACATAGAAATCAAACTCTCTGTTTAACTAAAATTATTATAGTCAATTATAGTATCATGAAATTACGGTGTATATGTAACATTGCATTAGATTTTGAGTAAATTAATTCTTTTAATTACAGTAAGTGTATTCAGTATTCATAGTCCATGAACTATAAATGCACAGTGTACCAGAAATAGAAAAACAAACAAGTTTCTGGATTATCTGAAAGACCCTTAGTCCCTCAAGTTTGGAAAATGATAGGAAAAGTTTATATGCCATATTTGAGCAAAATCATATTAAATTCTTGTCATTTGTATTATCCTTTAATACTTGCTAATTTGTTGATGATTGAGAAAATGAAACTACTAAATTCTGGAATTAATGAATTAATCAATACATTTCCTCTTCATGCAAAAAACCAGTTTCTGTTCACATACACCAGTGTTTCTCAACCTCTAATGAATCGTTGCCCCCTTCCATAAAACCGTTACTTAGTATCGCCCCCTTCAATAAAACCGTTATGTAGTATCGTCCCCATCACTTCAAAATTCCGATGCTGAGGGCCAAGGCTAACGCCAAATTTGTACTGCATTGAATAGACTAGTGACTAGTATAATGTTGTTTGTTTAATTATTGTACGATATAACAAATAAAATATCTAATTATTCTTAGTATAATGTTTTACTATATCGCCCAGAAAATTGTTTTTTGCCCCCCAAAATATAAATTGTTAGTAATCGTTTTTTCATGTTGAGGGGACACTGACATACACCATGAACTTCTCACCATTTCTTTCCTATGAAAGTTATTCATGGCATACTCTGTGTATTCAATAAATTTTATACATAAATAAAAGGTTTTTTGTGAATTTTATTAATTTTAATATTAAACTTTATTAGGGAACAACATCCACAGAAAACGACAAAGAAAAATTATTAGATTTTAAAGATTTGGGAGATATTTCATCTGGCAACTTAGGATCTGTGTCTAATCAAAGTGAAGCTGGTCCGGATGTTGCACAGTTTACTGAAGAGGAATTCAGATCTGCTGCAGAATGTAAGAACGATAATTTATATGTTTACATGGATATGTAAAGAATATCTGTTCTTACTCATAGTCCAAAAATTTTACAATATACTATTACAATTAAATAATTTTTATGAAATGTCTAAATTTTTAAATCTAAAATGAACAAAATTTATTAATCTGACAAATAAACTTAATAAAATTTGACTAATTTGACTTAAAAACTTAGTAAAATTTGATTGATTTATTACAATGAAGATTCATATATTGATAAATAGAAAATAATTTTGGATTCCTTACTGCTAATTTCATCCAGGACTTTCAGTAATATAAAAAAGTTGAATTTTAAATAGTTTATATGATAGTTTAATAGTAAAATTTTCATATATTAAGCAAATTAACAAAAGCAATAGGTTTTATTAAATCTTTTGGTTTTGAATATATTATTAGATTATTAAATTGAAGGATGCTTTAAAATATAATTTTCAATTTTTATTTCTTCACATAAAATTTGAGGGTGTGTCGGATTGTTGTGTCGCCCTAGCCTTGTCCCAGATCGGCGTGCATGTTTTGTTCTCTTTACCGTTCGCAAGTTTACTTTCACATGAACGATAATCCTGTTTCTTGCTATTGCTTATAAAATAGATGCTATCGATTGATTGTTATCGAGTATTAGTATTTTTACACCCTCCACGAAACACGTCTATCGATGTTTCGTATATATTATTGTACTGTTTAACGTTGGTGCATTGCGTATTGATATTAGTGTATAGTTTTGTGTTTTGAAATTTTTTCCCGTCATCTAGGAAGTTTAGAAAATAAAAATCTAAACTCATTTAATTTGTCGCGATTTATTTTTAATTTTTTGTTTTAATACAATTGTTTCCGTTTCAAAAGTAACTACAGTAAATGCTCAAAATGACATCATAGATTTTTAATAGAATTTTTGGTTGATGAAATCATTTCTAATTGAAAATGCCTGAATTAGTAAGTATTTGCGATCTTAAATTTTAACCTTCATCCGAATTATTTTTTTACGTATAGAAATAATATAATTAAATGTAAATGTAATCTAAAAGTAATCGAGTTTTTCCGTTATATTTGCTACAGTAATTATAGAAAAGCATTCTGGAAATGTTTTGTTAACAAATTCTACTTGTAATATTTAATCAGTTGATAACAAAAAAGTTCTGAATTACTCATTTAATTATTTTATTTAGATTCATTATATAATAATTACAGTAATTGTATTAAAATATTAGCTGCTGGAAATTTCTTTATCAATGTATAAATAGAATATCTTTATTCCTTTTCATGTAGTTTGTTTAAATGTTTTTCATTTTATCTTGTGCTAATGTAGAAATAATGTTGCTTATGATGTTTTAAATTTTTTGTTATGATTGTTTAAAAATATAGGTATTAACTAACTATGCTGTTAATTTGAAATTATTCCCATTAATGATTATACATTATTTCTTGTTCAAGTTTTATTCTGATTGCAAATAATTGTTTAAATAGGATTTTTGTGTATACAATCGCTTTGTTCTTAAATGCTATTTCACTTATTTTCTTAATCAAGATTTTTGTCTTACAAGTTAGTGAAATACATAAGTGGAATTCAGTTTAAATGAATGTAGTATATTATGGCCAAAGTAAAATAAAAGAATTATGATAGAAAAATATATTTTCAAAGTATATTTTACATAAAATATTTTATTGAATAGAAGCTTAGTAATTTCCATTCAGTTCTATTTAATTGCAAATTAAATAGATTTAGTATTCTGAAATAGTTTTCTGTATTAGTATTCTAAAAGAGACTTTGAAGATAATTCTTTTTTTAGATTGGCATTAATTTTCTTACAGCAATAATGAAACTGGAATTTTGAACAGATTAAGATTATGCAAATTTTTCTAATATGAAGCCCTTTGAATACTTTGCGTGATATAATCATGTGATTGAAAATTTCCACTTGGGGCCAACTGAATTATCATGTTTGCCATCTTTATCATAACATCATTTATAGATATAAAAATATAAATATTACACACTTTTTCTGTGTAATATTTATATTTTTGAAAAAAATGAAATCTGCTGTGAGGATATTGCTAATTTGCTGTATGTTCAAGATAAAATAATCGATTAAATTTTTTTTTATCTGGAATGTTCTGTTTGATTGTCATCAAATTACTTTCTGGCTAATATAATTCTGATACACTTAGGTTAAATTTATTTTTAAACAATCATACTTGGGGAATCAGAGTATATGATAAAATGTAGTAAAAATTTCTGTTATTCATTAATAATTAATATCTGTTTATTAATAAATATTTTAATTTCAAGTACTATATATAAATAAATATGGAAGTATTTAAATAATAATTATTTAAAGTATTTCTTATTCATATTGAATAGATAACTAATATAAAATGGATTCTTAACATGTGTTGAAAGAAATATTTTTAAATTTTTCATAATTTAAGTATAATTTTAAATAACGTTTTAAAGTTAATGTATATACTAATTAAAAGAGTTATAAAAAATTTGTTTGTATTATAACACAAAGAATGGGGATCAGAATGTTATTCACAGATGTTTGATTGTGAAATACTTTTGCATAGTGGTAACACATTATTTATAGAATGCAGCTGTAAAATATTAACTGCAGTCAGCCACTCATTTTTGAGGGAAATTGTTTTAAAAATTAGATAAGTAAGTATCTGTTTAATGTTATCTTTAGATGATGATTGTTTCATATACAGTACCACTGTTAGAAATTACTCTAGGATATATGTTAGTTCTAACTTTATAGTCCTGATTATTACCTGGAGTTCTAAAAAAAATTATTATAAATTTTATTTCTTCAATTAATATTTAGTTTTTAAAAGCAATATTCTAAAACTCACTTCATAATATTTCTTATTATATCTTAAAATATGACAATTGCATTCTACAAAAATACATTGCTGTTAACAAATATCTTTTCAGTTGTTTAATCATAGTATTCAATTTAGTGTGGAGGATTT